TTATTATTATTATTATTATTATTATTACTATTATGGTACAGTGCAATTGTAACGACAACTTAATTAAGTAAATTGGTAATTATTTTGTGAGAAGTATGGCCACCAGTTAATATTATATACAAAGTTAAACAAAATGTGTATATATTAAAAGTACACCACCAAAAATATTTTGAATTAAAACAAAATAATAATGAGGAACTGAATTAAGGCAGTATTGCTAAGCATCATTGGAACGACTAAAAGGCGGACCAGGAGGCTTATCTACCATACTTAATGTCCATGGAGACTTTTATAGAAAGAATCCAAAATATATCATCCTGCATGGAGAGAGACCTTTGCAGGTAAAATGCCTTACCAAAGACACAAGCAAACACATTTGAGGAATGTTTCCGGGACTCAAGGTTAGGTCAAATTCTGTGCCAAATCTTTCCCACCGAATTGACAAACTATCGAAGGAAAGCCCAATTCCGTTCACACTGTCTCAATCCAAATTCGTACAAATGAGACTGCAGTGGCATCCAACCAATAGACCTAGACCAGTATTTCATGCCAAAACTTCCAGTCTTCTAATTATGGCTATTAAGGTGTCATTAATATGGATAGAGACGGCTTCTGAAGACCACGGTGTTGCCTGTGTATGAATGACCGGTTCCTATTGATTAGGTCTGGTTCACACTGGTGTAGTAAAGACGCATTGACGCAAACGCAAGTAACGTTACTACACCTTACCGAGCACATTTTAGTGTGAACACTTAAAGTGAGGAGTGTAGGGTGCATTCAGATTATGTACTCGGCATAAAATTTTATCGTAACATTATGTTCTCGGCACATGTTACCACACCGAACGAAAATGTTTTCGGAATACGATCATTCAGATTATAAAACCATGTTCTTGGCATTTATGCATGTGTAACATTTTGAGAGGAGCTCAGAGTCATTGTAGGCCTAACTTTATTTCCATTTTATTAAATTTGTCTCTTATACGATCCCAGGGTCTTCGTGGAAATCTCAAGATTGTCGGATACCTTTTGGAACAGTAGCTTATTCCCAGATCATTTGGTATTTTGTGCTTATCTCCCTTCTTCCCAAACTTCAACTACGCAATTCATTTCGATGACTGCACTTCATGTGCTTCCTCTGCCAGAACATGTTTTCAGCATTTTGTTTTGTTCCAAAAAAATTAGGCCTACAGCATAAATTAATCAAGAGAACAGTAGTACTGCTATATTATACGAGCACATAGAAAATATTATTAGATTATCACTCTTATGATCTCAAAAAATGATGAAGGGCGGGTTTTTTTTAATTGGAACAATAGATTAGACCTATTTCGCCTTTGTTTTTATTGATGAGAGAGGGGACTGTTTATATTTGGTCTGTAATATTAAATATTGTATAAAAACTGGTTTAATTTTATAGTTTTTTAAATAAAATGTATTTAAAGTCACAAAATTGCATTGTTATTTTTATGCTGTTGGAATAATTGATGCGGCAAAAAAAAATTATTCTCGCATCAATATTTCCCGAATTTTTGACGCTGGCGGGAGTGATAATCTAATAAATATTTCTATTTGCCCTAACATGTGTACATTGCGCCTCGGAAGAATGTCAAAACAGGTCACGTCACGTCACTGAAGCCCGCCCAGTTATAACATTTTATGCTCGACACACGTTCAGACTTCATTCCAGAGTCGTAGTTCGAAAACATTTTGTTCCGAGAACGTGGTTCAACTGGGTTATAGCTAGAACATTCTGTGCTCGATATAAATGCCAATAGCATGCGTTCAGACTACAAAAAATGAAGTGTGCCGAGAACATGCGCCGAGAACACAGTCTGAATGCCTAGTAGACCTACTGCCGACGCAGACACAATCGCACGCCTAACGTTGACTCCAGCCAGCGGCCGTCGGGCGAAGTGAGTGCCCGGCCCGGCTTTAGGCTCATCGTCAAAAACTTCACACATATACCTACATGTCCGTAAACAGTATGGAAGTATTATCTTGGTTATTATGCCAATAACATTGCCTTTTTTTTAATATAACCAACGTGATGAATTAACATTTCTTGAGACTAGGCCTACGTGGAGTGCCTAGAGCATTCTGAAACGTGTATATTGTAAGTACTGTATTACTGTGATGTCTGATATATTAGTCAGTATGGTTACTATTAGGCCTATATTAATTACTATTATATTAATTATTTTTTATCTCATTTGATAGCTTGCATTTAGATTAGTATTATAAGAAAAGACAATAAAGAGACAATCGTTTGCTTCAATGCGTCTTAACTAAAACTATACAAACTCACTATTCAAGCAAATACTTCGATAAACAACAGCAGCACATGGGGACTAAAGAAGACGAAGAAAAACTCAACTTATTTCACAGGAATAGACAATGGATAAAAATAAAATATACTCACAAAATGTCAATATCATTAGACATTTTGAAAGCCCGGCTATATTCGATGGGACAAGTCTTTAAGGCAAGTCAGCCCAACACCTAGGAATACAGCCATTGACTATTATTTTACCAATAAAATTCAAGACAAAGAACTACATTACCACCTTACATAATGACCTCACCATTAAAGAGCCAAAAAAGGAGACCAAACCGGAAATGACATAATCAGAAACGACTTCTAAGTGATATCATCATGACTTCAGAAATCTCCTTATTATTTTTTGTTCATATTTATATTTTGTAATGCTTGGATCAAAATCTTCAGATAAGACAGAGAATTGTTTTTCGCACACTTTCCATCACATTGTGTTCGATCAAATGCCTACACAGTACCCCCTGCTTACATTTGTACACTTATCTCCAGGCAACAATATCGCTATGGCCATAATCTTCGTTATCTGGTTCCTTTTTCCTTTACCTCGGTCTAATAAGAAAGCTGGTGATAGGGCGTTTTCAATTGTTTTACCAGCCTTTAGATTCCCAGCGAGCTACGACATTCTTCTTGGGTTTCGTCGGCTTCCTAAGAAACATTTGTTCCCTAAGTATACCCTCACTGAACTTTCCAAATTTTCTGTTTTTTGTTATTTTCTGGTGTCATTTGTTGATTGCCAATTGTTAACTTTTTATTTATTTTTATTGCGCCATGTATCCCTTGACAAAAGGCGCGACACAAATTCCTGTATTATTATCTAAATAATTGAGTGAAGCTATAGTTTGACGGTTAAGATGTTTGCTTTCCAATATTAGGGTCCTGTGCTAAATTCCTGCCACATCATGATTTTCACGACTGAAGGCACGTCAGAAAAGGTTCATAAAGCATCTTTCCATCCAGTTATGAAGTCATATATTTTCCTGGCTTGGTGGGTTCTGGTTCGAAATATGGTTCAAATAAGGACTATAAACCTTAGGCTCTACAGTGTACACAATTTGGCTCATGTGGACATCAGTACATCATCAAGACACTTTACTTACGTTTGCCTCTCTTCACTAAAGAATGTAAATTTGGGACGGGGTTATGCTGTATAACCTGCTCGTCGGTGAACCTGCTACGATTGTTCCAGTCAATTAAACAACAATTAAATAAAAAGGAAGCTACATTAAAAAATATATATATATATATATGTAGCTCCTGTGATTCATTCAAACGAACTGGTCCATTCAGCCACTGCTGTGGACCAACGAGAGTAGGTGGTACTGAACTTAAATTATTTATCATTAAACCATGGACCTATTATGATTAAACCACGGATTAAACATTGATTAATTAGGTTATAAGACACGTACGCATTTCCACTTGTGCGCAACAGTGAGTTAAATTCGAAAATACAGACACCATATTAATAGTTACCATGTACTCCTCTTGCCCTTGTCGTTTTTTAATAAGGAATTGATACTATCACTACCAGCACGCATTTTTCCCATCTTGTTCCACAGCATATGTCGGGAATTTTGACGCTTAATTCTGAAATTAAAAAAGAAAAAGTTCTAAAAAATGAAATTGATCATGATGTTCCAAACTTTAAAATCCAAATATCTAAAAACCATATTTATGTAGGCTCAATTTTAGTTTGTAATTGATCTTTCCAGCAAGTGCTGCCCTTTGGATATTGTTGCTAAGGAATGAAATAAGATAACTTAATGGTCAGTGTTGACAATTTGTTTCATTACTGATGATGTTCTAGGAAAGACCGAAATAATATCTGCATAGCTCAGTCGGATAAACTGACGGTAGATGCGAGTGCGCTGCAGGGGCGGCGTCAGGAATTCCATGACGAGGGGTCCAAGCTTCCAGACAAGGGGTCCACGTCGGGGATTTTTTTTTTATTAAAAGATAATAACATTTTATGTTAATTATTGATTTTTTTAAATTTAGATGTCGGGGATACTAAGTACCCCTGTCGGGGAGGTACCAGCAACTGTCGGGGAAGAGCTGGTGCACCATTGCAACACATACGATCGCAATTACTGTATACAACACCTCGCAAATACGGTAGCACTGCTCGCACTAAAACAGTTTTTAACAGCTTAAGGTATGCTTAAATTGTACTTTCGGCGCTCGATATTTAATTTTTGCTTGAAATTTCACTACAGGGGATCCAAGCGGGGGGTCCCCGACGGAGTTCTTTTCCCCCTGTACCCCCGCTAGTGCCTCCCCTGGTGCCCAATTCTGTCCGACGCTTTCAGCTGAAGGGCTGTAATGCAAGTATCAAAGGCACACCGTCTTACGGATGAGACATTAGGTAGTTTTCTCCGTACGACGTTAACTTTAACGTTAGTACCCAACATGCAACGCGATAACTCCGCCCCTTTTGTAAACAAATCGAAATACGCATGCGCAAAAACCCGTAACAAACGTCCGTCGAGCACGTAAAATCCTGAAAATAACGTACTCCGCAACGCAAGATGAATAAATTATGATGTCATCCGTTAACGATCAGGTTAACGTCGTGCAGCGAAAACTCCCTATTTAATCTGTTGGTCTGTGGCGGATCCAGAAAATCCGTAATAGAGGGGGTCCTAGAGGTACTTTAACACTGCAAAGATGGGGGTATATACCACCAGCCCGTAACAAGGGGATTCGGACGATTTCCCCCACCCCCACAGAATAGGGAGTTCCACTCTACCAGACCAACACAAAACAACTTTATAAGTGCGATTTATGCAATCTTTTAATCACGACAACTCTCTAAGCCTCATAAAGAGACTTCACTGATAAAAGCATCACATTATTTCATTTATTTAAAGAGGGCCCCTGAATATCAGCCAACCTTCTAGAATACGCTGGAAGGGTCACCCTCTATAAATATGGGTTTTAAAAACAAATATGTACGAAACCATTCCAAAAACCACTATTAAGGGGATAATTAAAGGGAAAACTTCACATTTTTGTGTCTCCTGAATAGTGGTACAGGGGTACCCCTACTCAGGGGACACCCCTTTTAAGTTGACACTTTTTTTGGGTCCCGAGGGTGTCCCTTAATAGGGGTTCTACTATAATATCGGTTTGGTTTTCTCATGTATTGTGTCTGCTAATAACCATGTTTTATAAATAATAAAGGCTGCTATTGTGCATAAATTATTTATAATTTGGTTATGCTCATTGTAATTTGAAACTCCGAGTATTATTGTACTTAAATTGCCTTCAATACTTAGGTCTAAATGATATTTAGCCAACATTAAAAGTCATTGATCGAGTTCCTAGTCCACATATCAAGCGCCCTGAGCATCTTACATTAGATGGATATGTGCGCTATATAAAACTACACTATTATTATTATTATTATTATTATTATTATTATTATTATTATTATTATTATTATTATTATTAGTTCAATAGATAAGCCTCTGACATGCACTGTAGTTTTTATGTGCGACTATAATCCAAAGACGTTCTGCACAGAAGGGAGACGGGGATGATGTATAAGATGTGATCCTATCTGTATGGTCTGTAATATTGCATGGTATATCCTACTGCCGATTCTTCAATATTTGCACATATCATATCAAATTGATTCAGTTTTAATTCACGAAAATTGTAATTCCCTTTTAAAGCAGCTCATAAACACACCAGAAGAGCATTTTGAATTAAAGGTGGCGGTCATGGTTTTCAGCATTTTTCGAGAGAACCCTGGACTCCAAAAGCTCCAGTCAGAAAGAAAAAGATCCTTCCCATTACGAAAGCTGGTTACGGGCCTGACCACCTCAGCCTCACCATGGTTGGGGTGAGGAAAGAAAGTTTATGATTATGGCACCTCTAGATTGCCGGAAATGGCACTCAGAATTTTTCGTTCATTTTTCCCTCAACCCCTCCCCCACCCTTGATGACCCATGTGCACGTTCAAAAACGCAACAAGGGATTTTCTCACGGTGTACTGCCTAATCACCACCAGAAGGACTCCATTATTTTGAAATAAGACTTGGGGATGGTGTTGAAACCGAATAAATCCAATCCAATCCAAATATTTAATTAATATTTCCCTGAGTCTACATCTTAATATAATCAGTGGACAACTTCATACATCTTATTTACCAAAACTGAATTGCTTAATTTTGTATATTCAGAAGGTTAGGTTTTGTAGTGACGACTCCTGAGGTCACTGAATGACCCCGGATTCCCCGTCGGCGCAGACTGGCGCGTCTACTGGCCTGATCATTACACGGCCGACCCCGGGAAGCCCTCGGAATAAACGGTAAGTAACAACTTTGACTATTTAAATTTAAAAATAGTTTCATTTGAATATTAGATCAGGAAATATTTTCCTCCTCAATATTACCATTGCTAAAGTCACGTATAAAGTTAAGAACTTCCAATTTCTACAGACAATTTAGGGGTTTCATAGTAAACAGTGTGTAAATAATTAAAAAATTATTTTGATTTCGGTTCTATGACTTACTTAAGGTTGGAATAAATATACAATTTAAAGTTTAATTTAAATTTTTGAGTGGCAATGTATTTTTTGGTTGTGTGGTTTTAGCGGATAAAACTAACACATGACGAGTAATTTACTCATAAATAGTTGAATTGAAGAATTATTGTACTTACGGCATAGCATTAGATATAAGTCCTGTCCCTATTAATTGATTCGAAAGCGGATGCTGCCATAACAACTCTTCACGAAGACGCTGTAATCTATTCATGCAAAAATAGCTAATAAGTAAGAAGCTTAGATTGAGCAAATTTGTCAAGCATTCATTTTCATACCATATCTATAGAAGTTGACAACTCCATCTTATAGAAGGTAAGTCGATATTCATTGCCCTCTAAAATAAAAATAGCAAAAAGTATATCATAATCTAAGAATTTCACCTATAATAATATTTCTGTGATTGACTGTGACGCGCAGCTTGTAATATGAAATTGTTTACACAGCATTATAGTTTTTTTTTTTACAATGTTCTTTACTTGAACTTATATATATATATATATATATATATATCTGTCTCTTATACACATCTTGTGTGTGTGTGTGTGTGTGTGTGTGTGTGTGTGTGTGTCTTTTCTTCGTACACATTGAGATGTAACCATATTTAGGCATGCCATATGTTTTGTCAAATAAAATGTTATAGGCCTAGTTTGGAAATGGCTTAATAATGTCATGGGAATAGGCCTACGTGTGACTAACAATAAAATCTAAGCTACTTTAAATATCGTTTTTGTACTTATGTTGGACAAGGTTTAGGTGCTTAATCTGGTAACAGCAACACGTGATTTTAGAGCAGACACATTCAAAGACAACTTAAAACCTGTACGATTCTATTACACTCAGTAAGTGTAACTTACGATTTATGTTCCTCGTTTTTTATTTCATTCAGTAACTCGAGAATGTCTTCTTCGGCGTCGTTTCTAAAACAATAAAAATAAAGGTTACAAAAATATCGATTTTTTAATCTCATGTCACTGAGTAAATTGCTTAGTCTAAAGAGGACAGAGAAAGCTTGAGCAATTTAAACGATGAAATTGGGTACATTAGAGAAATAAATATTCGTTTGCTTTTAAGCAAATGTGGGACGTGAGGTGTGATAATCAATTAAACAGTGACAAAATTTACATAAATATTGTCTGTATGAGTTGAACTTGTCAATATCCTATGGTTATTATCGCATAATATCAAAATAAGATTAATTGTATTACATTGATAGTAGTTAGTTGTATAGTAGGAGCAACAGTAGCAGTAAGTAACAATTCGGCTTGCTTGCATCGTGTTCAGTGAAGTTTTTCATGATTGCGTAATTACGACAAAGAGAGTTCTTCCCTTTGTAAGTCAAAAATCAGGTTGCCAAATCGACAATTCAAAATAAAGAATGCTAGACCGCCAATAAATATAACAGTAAGTTTTAATTTTGAAAAAAACTGTATTGGGTAAAACATTAAACATCATTAACAAAAAACAAACGTAAAATAAAAAAAAAATGAACAGAAAACTTCATCATGTATTATACGGATCAGTATTTCCTGTTCAGTGTTGTGCGATCATACTCGATCGTAGATTCTTTTTCAACGGTCAAAATTTATATATCATTACAGCATTACCGCAAGACGATTTAGAGTTACTTGATCTCTACGTTGTATTATGAATTATTTATAAATATAATATCTTTTCGAAGATCCTGGCTTGTTGTAACTGCTAATAGGAAGAGGGTGTATGATATTGATCTCTGTTATTTGCCTTGCAATCAGAACTAGTGTTGTTCAACTAAGCATGCGCAAAATTATCGTGAAGAATGAGCTACTTTAATCGGATTTGAATTTCAAACGAAGCCTCAATGGACAAGTTGGTTGAGTCATCTGTATAGACAGCAGAAGGACCA